TACATAGAGCGTGAGATAGAGAGAAATCCGTCAGAGCTCGGGGACTCAATGCCCTTGTCATACATGGGAGTGTTCTTTGTACAATTTTGTCTCCTACCTGACGAAGGACAGAGGTGGTAATGATATAAAATAGTAGTCAATAAAGTCGATGCGATGAAGTAATGGGACAAAGCGTCACGGTCTCAACATAAACAATTGGAATTGAGATCAATCGTTAACTACGTTAATGACCTCGACTTTACGTAGATAAGGAAAAAAAGAAACTTGGCTTTACCTTAAAAGAGGTTGGAAGTTAGTTCTTTTTAAAAGAAGAAAAAAAGAATAAGGTAAGTGACAGCATCCGGAGTTCCGGTATAATATAAGCGACTTGTATAGATCAGCATCGGTTTTATTAGAACGTTGGAATTCATTGGTGTTTAGTAATTTCAAACCCAGTATTCAATATGGATGACAATTTTTTTTTTTTTTTTTCAAATCTATATCTGATACTCTGTACGCTTAAATATACATTCAAATTCTAGGGTATCTACTAGCACAAAACACAGGGTTTCGCTCGCCGAGCATCTGTAAACCGTGATGTTGACATTTTTAACAACTTACCATTAGCACTAGGTAAATTTTCAATCAGTTGTAACTTAAGGATATTGGTAAAACAGTAAAACCGCTACCAACTCCTTTTCAGATAACGAATCGGCAAAATCTCGATAAAAAATCGTGTGTAACGAATAGCGAACAAGATAGTATAATAAAATATTTTTGTTAGAGAAAAATAATACTACACAAATAAGCATCACAAACTGAGATCAGTAAAATAAGTGTAAGAACGTACTGCACTTATGTAAATACGCTGGCGTACTTATTTAAACTATAAACTTCTATCCGGCTCAACAACCTATTAGACACGGGTAACCTCAAAGATAATACTAATATCTCTATATGAGTATCGTTACTTATAAAAAGGTCCCGCCTTATAGCTGACATTCCAACGTAAATGTCCTGCTTCCGGTATAGACGTATGTCGGAAATAAATGTTATTTAGATAACGACCTTTGATGTCTAGCGAGTAAAGTTGACTATATTTAATATTGAACCTGCAAGACAAATGAAAAGGTTGTACAAGCCACAGCAAGGAATATAGAATATGGCAACTACTATACACGGAAAACGTCGTCTGCTATTGCTTTTATCGGACTGTGTGGAAGCTTGGAGTATGGAAACGAGGGCGACGGCGGTTCCTTCAGGAGTGGGTGCGAACTCCATGACAGCCGCTCCGGGCACGAGGCACGCCGTCAATGTCGATAATTTTTCCGATTTCAACAATATGAGGAAAAAAGAAAAAAAAATTGATTTCTATGACCTCGAAGAAAGAAGATGAAAGTATAGGGGACAAAGGTGTGTCGGATAAGCTGCCGCAGGCGTCAGTGGAAAGGAAGCATGAGTCGGCGCTAATTGAGGTCAGACATCTGAGGGACTTCTACAACATGCGTCCTACCCCAGGTATAGACGCTAGAGACAAACGAAAATCCTCGCAGGTGAGTGATGAGAGGACAAATTCATACGTGATCCAAAATGTCAATTATTCAGTTCAGCTAATTGAAGCATGCAGGAAAACATACGTAGATATATTATGCTTTATACTTGACGGATTTTTCCTATACGACCCAATTTCAATTCCAATAATATTAAAAAAAGAACGACCATAATTATCTTCAAAAATTATTTAATTCGATATGCTATATATATATATAGTAATAGTTTTGTGTATAAATATAGTTATATATATAATTATGTATAAATGTAGATATATATATATATATATATATATATATTAGGAACTACTTTGAAAAACAAATTGAATTTTATAATAATGCATCAAATGGTGACACTATTGTGTGACAGGTAAAATAAAAATAAATATAATAAAAATAGAAATAATAATAAATAAATAAAATAATAGTAAGTTATTACTATAGGAAATTATCAAGATAAGGAACGAATTTTGATTCTTCAAATAAACAAAATTACTCCGTATTTATATTGAGCTCAGCTCTATAAGTGATACAAGTATAGACACGTTAGAGTGGCCTATGGATAGTAGAGCACTCTACGGGTTTTACGAATCCAAACAACTTTTTTTTTATGTATTTCGGTAGAAGACGCTTTATATTGGAACTAAAAAGGTATTTTTCGCCAACCTTTTAGAAATTTCGTACACGTTAAGGAGGATACCGAAGCATCTTCAGTCCTCCTTGATGGCAGTATCGGGTACGGGCGGATCAATCGATCGAAACTACCAAAGGCCGCTTCCGGTATAAACAAATCGAGCATGTCCTCCGAAGATAACTACCTCAATTACTTGAGACTATCAGAAACTTGCTAACATATCATCGAAGCGACAACTTCAACGAAAGATACATGAAACCAATTATTGTTGATTCTGTGCTTGTAATCTTTCTATCATAAAAGCGATACATCGACATACAAAATCACGGAAGGACAAAAATCGTATCTCTGAAGTGAACCAATATTATAATTGAATTCTAATCGTTGTTACATATATCACATTGTTGCATACGAACGGATTTCGTCAGTCGGAGATACGTCAAGGAGTATGTTGCTTGTCGCGCATGCCACACACCGGAAACGATTCGTGAAAAAAAACACGCGACCATACTGTTTTCGCTGAGTTCCGTCAATTTAGAGCGGTATCCAGGCTATGACGACTAAACGAGGGGCAACTCTTACTAAAAGGACCTAACCTTTAGATATTAGTTTAGACCGGTTACTTGGGAGAATCATTAATAACAGGTTAAAGCTGAACACACAGCAAACCTAACCATCATAGGAAGATCGATTAAATGACAAAGGCTAACGAAGACACTCGATCTTCAATACGTGACGTAATTATTTCTCGACTTGTTTGAAAGGCAACTATAGCGATTTTAATAGTAGTAGATACGATTGAGCGGAAAAGACAGGATGTTTTCAGCGTAAAACATTATATGAATCTTAATAACTTTACCCAGAATTAATCACGATCTATTTGAGGACTATTCAAAAAAAAACTATAACGTTATATAACTATAACAAAACGTATCTATGGTAGAAAATTCAGTGGGTAACTTGTATCCGCATACATTGCACTACCTGGAGGAATAAGGATTTCAGCGACGGTGCCAAAGCTGTAATGCACACTTTATTTTGACATCGTTCGAGTACTGAACTTGCATTGGGGAATCTGGGAAGGCAGCTAGTATATATTGAACTCAAATGGAACTCTGTGGAAATGCACCACGGTATGGGTAGCTATGATTATCTAAAAAAACTGCTCTAGATAAGACGTTTAAGGTCCTAAATACGAATGCCGTACATCATTGTAGAAGTGAAGATAGCCTCATCAGCAACGTATGTAAGAAAAAAAAAATAGCTTTCACCTTTGCCTATAAGTTGCTCGAATACTAAGCCTTCCACGTATTCGAATTACGTTACCTTAAACGTTAACTAACTGTGCAACAACGCCGATGGTACGTTTCGTTTTACCGTTTTTATGTGATAAAGCATGTCAAAGTTGAAAAATCACTACGCTATTGATGTACCTTTTTGAATACGGGGGTCAAGATTCTAACACAGTTTATTCCTTTTAGCGGCGATGAAAGAGATTGGGTGATCGGGCCTAGTTCCCGGTAATGCATTTTGATGATTTACGTAAGCTCGTTGATTAGATTGAGCATTTTGTGAGCACTGCCCAGTTCGCATTAGCATAATTTTCCATATTATAATGACATTTTATTAATTCATGGTATGAAAACGCAAACACTGTAAATTTGAAGCATGTCTTGAAGTCCACGGGGTACGAGTATATGATAATCTGATCGGTCAGTGACTCAATAACACGTGTTACCCCAAAAAGAAAATAACTAATGCTTGTCAGAAGGTCTTGTCACTGACTTCTTTAGTTAAGAATCATAATTTAGAAAATTTTTCTGTGTTAATTTTATACTAGTTGCGCATGTGCCCAGCGTGTTGCGAGCTTTAAGCCAGCAATTCTGCGTGCCTTTCGAGCTAGACACGTAGAGCTTCAAGTTATAATCTGCGACCTAAACATTACATTTAAGATAATAAACGAGTGGCTTAAAAAGTATTCTTCCGAAGTTTTCTGTTAAATTTTAGATATCCGCTTTCCGATCGACAGCGAGCGCTAATTTTTTTTCTTTACGTTTTTCAATACATCGCACCGTTAAGGGGAAAGCGGCTTTTGAGATCTCCTGAGCTCATTTTATGGTACGGCATCACCGAACTAAGAGAAATCCCCGGAACGTTGAATTTTATCCGTGTAGAAACATACAGGAAGGAAAGTTTTACTTGCAATGTATTCAACCTGTAGCAGTACACATAATACACCTTACTGCCTTGACACAATTAGTAAAACGTAAGCCGTAGGAAAGCTTAGTGAATATCCTATTTAGCTGTATTTTTTCACTCGATTTTTCTCGAAAAAAAAACTTCCACGTCACGGAGGTGGCAGGCATTTTTACAAAGTATAAATGGCACTTTATTGGCACAACCGATGGTATTGCGTCACAACGAGTGGTAATATTTGATGGCTACAAGAGTTAAACAAACTGTTCTGTGCCCCATAGAATAGATGGAGGCATGAACTGTTAAAGCATAAGCGATAAGTAACTTTCGATTTGGTCATTTTTGAAGTTCAACCTTGTAAGCATCTTTGGTAAGACTTGTAAATAAGACCCAGATAATTTTCACCCTGTTTCCTCATGGACGTTATCAGTCATCGTCATATCAGTACCGCTGCATTTTCTATCTAGATGCTATACGATAGTGTAAGCATGCCCCGATCTGGCAAAAATAACTAATCGATATACTAATATAAGTTACAGAATCTTATCGCCACGATGTTGAAGAACATAACTAATGGTTTCCAGAGGGGCAGTTTATGTTGTCCATCTAATATATGTCTTTGGCTACCGCAACGGCCAGGAGATATGTTGGTGGTGGCGGCTAACTTATGCCCGTCTGTATACGTGCCTTAAGAAAAGGGAAAAAAAATTTGCTCTAAAATAATCCAAACTGATTACTATTGGAATATTTGGTGTCTTTTCTATTAACCTTGCGCTACTGCCGATAGCAGATAAGTTCTCTAAACGCCCCGGAATAAGCTACCTGAACTCAAACAGCTACTGATTTTAACATTGTTAGTCAGCAAGCTTAGAAAAAAAAATGACAATTTCGTGCATCTTACTTACTATTTCTAAATGTGAATGTATCGAAAAAAAAAAAAAAACATCAACAATACGCGTGCAAATGCAAATGCGAGCGAGCATTAATGTTAGCTGGTACCAACTGGTCTGGGGGCATTTTGATTCGTAGTCTTTTGAATATGCTCTTGATAAGCACCGGCGTGTGTTTAGCTGCCGTTTTGATATCTGGATAAATATCGCAAACAACTTAATGTTCCGTATGAATCAAGTTTTTGATTGAACTTTGAAGATTGAAAAGAGCGTGTACAATTATGTCAATAGTTCGCTTAATTATTTATTCATTTCTTACACGACCCTTTTTTGTGAATATAATAACGTCAAATTATTATTATTATTATTATTATTATTATGGTAATCCATAAAAAGCGATATACATGAGATAAAGGAATAACCAAACATGACCTCCCTCACTCTCAGTGAACGGTGACCTTCTAGTATCCAGAACGATCTTTCATACTAGAACCACACTCTTCTTACATTTTAATTCAACTATTACGTGATGAAGTTACATCGTAATGAAGGTGCAGAGTTCTTTGTCGATGACGTCGAGCTCTATAACGTTGCTATGAAGTCTTCAGCTAGCACTCGGCTGCGGCCTGCTGAGGTCCGACGGACGTCCCAGCGCCAGAAGTATCCATCGGTGATACCTGGAGCCCGCTCTGTTGCATATGTTGACTCATTGTCTGCGCGATATGCGGAGAGCTCATGCATGGATCTAACGGTGGCCCTGTATAGTAGATGACAACGGACCTCTCACGTTATTATCTAATTAGAGCACTTATTGCGGTACCGCAATGCTTTCTCTCCTATCTTTTGGCCGAAACAGAAGGCCGTGTTCTAATACCAAATACATGTTTACCAGTCCGATTGCGGTTAGTGAATTGACTTTAAGCTATTAAGCTTAAACGACATTACTATGAAATAGTGCACACATAATTATATAGGAATGGGCATACAGTCTATTGTATGTCTAGATAAATCTGTTCATCAATTGTATTATAAACTAGAGGTCGTTACTGCAGGCTTCGCCGATGAAGCATAAATGCGGTACAATTTGCGTGAATAGGAAAAGTGAGTTCTTCTAAATCATATGCATCATGGTAATAGCCGTTTCACGTACCGTATCCGTTGGCGTTACCGCCTGTGGCGCTGTTGCCGGCGGCAGTGTTTGTGCTATCTTCTTGATAATGGTACGTAGTTGGACCGACCATTCCGCCGAGGAGCATCTCCTGTAAAAGTGAGTCCACACGAGTTTTTCCGACACTCTTCGCCATTTGAATCATTTCGATCATCTGCCATGTGACAGATTGAAGAGTGGGAAGAAGAAGCACCATTTGAACCAAACGGCCCCGAGACTCGTATTGCCGATCATTCGTGTAGTCCTCAAGGGCCGTCTGAACCTGGTAGCGTAGAGCTTTGATTTTGTTCGGCTCATGCAGGCCACGAGCATCTGAAAATTGAACGGTCAAACGACATTTGTCTTGTGTGAGTGCATCAACCGAAACTCTGATCGGAAACCAAAGCTAATAAATCTAGATCAAGTATAGTGGTTGTATAATAAAAGCAATGATATGTACTCAATGCCAGTATAGTTGTATGTGTATAAAAGTGACGGGTTGACCCTGAATGGCCTGAAAAAATTTACTGGGATCGAAGAAGACGATTGCTTTGAGGCAAGCGAACTCTGTGTCGTCAACGCGTATTTCCCGCATCGGGTGTATAAGCTCATCAATAATTCGTTCACTGATTACAGATAGTTCAGCGTCCTGCATAGCGTTTCTCGGCATCAGGAAATCGTTGCCTAGTAGCAAGACGTCCTTGACCGGTAACGAGCGACGGGCGACCCCTAGAACGAGATGTTCCCCAGCGTGAGCTCGTAGCAGGGCCACTTGGTCATCCAATTGCAGCTCGAGGAAGCATGGCAAACTTTTTGCCCAATCAACAAGACCCAAAAGCTGTTGCTTCATTGAGTTGCAAATATCCTCCAATTTGGCTATCTTCTTTGTCTGCATATTATGCTGTTCAGAATCGCCATATCCACCTCCCGGAGTCTGTTGCTATAAGGGAACAAAACAGTGCCAGCAAATAAATTGAGTTAGTCGTTTTATAGCAAAGATTAATTGTACCGTACAATTACACTGTTTTAATGGTATTTTCTTTCACTGTTAACTGCGAAGATTCCCCTCACCGTAGTAGACAATACATACTACCAATCATATTGGGCTGTTACAGATGATTTTGGTAAATTTTGAAGTTAAGTGGCTTTTGAATTAGTCGGGCTAGAATAATAATTTTTAATATGTCTTGAAGGTACTCTGTTTTATTTTTTACGTTCTTGTCCCAGCTCCCGAGTAGTTTCTGAACAAATATACACTTACCACTTGCGCCCCTATCTGTAATTATTCTATCTATGGCTTCTCAAAATTCCCTGTTTGTTTACACACCAATTGCCCTCTTAGGACATATTTAGCTCCCTAATCATATATAAACTCCTATTGGAAGAACGAGCGGATTATTACAGATTATTATCGAACATTACGTTGCTCAATCCAGGAAGTAGTTGAGGTCTGGCGGCGATGAGGTCTGGCTTTGTCATCACGTAACCTGGCTGCTTGTTTCCAATTATCGATAAATTTCTCAAGGAACTCAAAATAGGGGGCAGCTTTCATTAACTCATTTTATAAGAGGGCTAGTAGCAGATGCCTCCGAGCTTTTTTGCAAGTATTACCATTGTCTTACGCTCGACTAACCTATTCGACACAACCACGGGGCTCGATTTTTTTCTCCAAGGAAACGCCATCCTTTCACCTGGTCTCTCTCCGACTCACGGTAGATATTGAACCATCTCTCGTCTATAATGGCCGTATGTTCCAGGCAGATTTTTTGTAGCTTAAAGTTTTGCAAGTCTCAAGCGGAATATACCACGTGCGTCTTCAACTGGCCTGAAATCAATCCACGGGCCATCCATTTTTTTCTCAGATTTCGCATTTTCTGTTCAATCTTCAGGCACGTTACACGTATATTCGTCGATTTTGATAGACAGAGCTTTTAGATTTGAAGCTTTATTTTCGAAAAAGCTCTTCGATTGCGGAAGTGCGTTCCTGTCCTTCGGGTTCCGATACCTGGTCACCTCGCTTCTGTTCCTTAGCACTCTGATCTCCATTCTCGAGACTTCCGTTTGAAGCCTGCTTGCCCAATGTCCCCACCCATCTTTAGTAAATATTCGCAACGTTGTGGTTTTCGAGGAAAAACATAACCACTAGGCGTGGATGTTCCAGACCAAAAACATACTCCTTCTTCTGAACTTGTGTTTTCTTGAGTAAATTCTGCCAGTTTTCATCGGCCGGAATATTTACCAGTTAAATTTCGTCGACTAACAGAATTGCTTCCAATAGCGTAATAACAATAATTCCATCGATATTATATTGTGAATATCAATAGCGTATTAAACTTACGCTTCGCGAGAAGACATCGGCATGAACGAGTGATTGTAAAGTGAGCAGGCCTTGATTAGCGAGTGCCTGGGTGTCCTCATAACTCTGTCGACGGCAGCTGATACGGTCACGTTCATTTTGTACAGCTAAATAAACATAAAGATCACAATTTAATCAACAATTGCATAGGAGAAACAACCGGTTTCACTTAGACAATTCATCTAATATATCCAGAAGTGACTGAAAAGCTAATCTACGTCGGCAATCGCCTACGCTGAGCTAAATCATTGCATCTGACCCTGTTTGCCATAATTAAATAACTTCAGTAGCAATATATTAGGAATATAAGCGCATCTGCTGCCCAAAAAATATGTATTTATCATAGGTATACAAGTTCGGTACGGCTGAACTTCACACGCTTTATTATTATTATTATTATTATATAAGGGTATCGTGTAGAAGTAATTTATTCGGACACTATAATCCTCCTGTATCTCTTCGAAATAACAGTTTAAAAAAAGAGTCACCCCCCACTACCTATGCAGAACGATTCTACTGCGATCCGGGTCAGGCGATGCTTGGTTGGTGGGTTTCCATTACTTGATTGAACAAAGGGCTAGAATTGTAACCCGTACTACGAAGCTGCTACGACTTTATATGTACTGGCGCATTATTCAGTATCGTGGTAACAGCTGTAGCAGCGGTAGCTTGTCTGATTTGTGTAAAATAGTCCTTGTCCATAGATTTAACTCGTAGAGAAGACATAGCAAGAAGGGGCTAGAAGACCATTTCGAATGCAATAGTCCTTATATGCATCTCGACCTACATAAACGTTTTATATCCAAAAAAGACATTAAAACAATTTATCTACATTTTCTCCTCTACCAGTGTCCGCAACGTACATGCGTATATCTGTTCTTTTATTGTTTCACTTGTCGCCTTAGGACTATGCTTTTTTTGGTATTCAAAACTTCTAAGTACACTGACGGCTCTATAAGCATACTGTTTATTTAGGAGATTTGAGACAGCATAACGAAGAGTGTAAGATTTCAGGCATAAGGCTTCGGAACTATACAATTGTGAGGAGCCGTTGCAACCAGCATCTTTTTATCGAGTGTGTCCTATATTGTTTGCTCTATATTTCTGTTCGCTGATTATACGCTCGTGATTCTATCAATATTATCATTTGTTTGTTTCTAGTAGATAGCTTCAACACTCGGGCATATGCCTGTTGGTCACTTCCCTTCTATGGCTGGACTTCGTTTGGATCAACTTATCGTGGTGACGGATCGGATGCTGTTGTTACAAGTTTTCTGTTGAGGCTTGTTTTTCCGAACAGGACGAAAAGACGTACGACGAGAGAAAGGCACAGAATCGTAACCGGTGTCGTAAGCTTGCAACAAGGTGACGAAAGGATGAAGGACGTGGGTACCAAAACGCAGCCAGTGATTCGCCTGATGAAGGCGCATAATGCAACGATCTTTCTCACGACGTTTGCAAAGCGGCAATCAGCGGTCAAAGTTCCATTTATCTTTTTTCTTTACTATTTAGTAAGACAACTGTCGGCATCAGATGAGCACAAGTCGAGCTACGGTCTGCTACCAACTAGTGGGTAGGAGTGGCAAAATGTCATGTCTACGTGTGTATTTGTGCCCGTTTGTCTGCACATTGTGTTGTAGGATTGCCTTGCACGCGTTTCAGCCCACATCAAGTAGGATGCTTCAAACAGAATAGGGCTGTAGAAAGGATCAGGCGAAAGGAAGCTTTTCCGGTCACAGGTGCTCGAGGCCACTTCTGGCGCAATGAAAGATCAAGAGGTTCAAGGGGATCCGTTCGGTTACTGGTTCCAACCAGCTTGTCTGTTCAGAGGGTCCATAGAGGCATGATACAGCTGACCGAGTCACGAGAACACAGTAGCACCGTACAATATCCTGTGAGCGCGCTTATGCCGCCCGCACTGTCCAGTGAAGTGGTACCATCTATAGAATAAGAAGATCGACAATAGGTTGACATCGCCAAGTCACCGTGTAGAAGGAAACTAGCTGTATATTATAAACCAAAAATAAATAAATGTCCTTTGTCTTTAGGGTACGTGTGTCCTGTCGAGGTGTAGAAACGTTAACACGATATTCACACCAGTGCAAGCCAGGAAGTAAGCATGCTGCTTCAGTCTGGCTATGCAGTTCGTTGTGGTACTGAGCGTCGTATCACCGAACCGAGTGGACGGAGCGACAATGAAAAGACGGCTCATGTACGAGTTATATCCCCTTCTGCACGATCTTCATCTCTGTCGGACAAACCGCAAACAACTGTCTCAGTGCAGGATTTTTAAACAGGCGAACGGTCGACGGGCTCGTGATGGTCGTGCCTCTTAGCACGATACAAACATTCAAATCGAAAAATGCATATGACCACTGAAAACCGTCATGTTCCTGTTCACGCCAGCAACATCGACCGGTTGCTGCTGTGGCTGAGCCTATGCCACGAGGCGAGCACGTCCGCCGATCATAATTCAGGCTCGATTCTTCGTCGACCTGGATAGAAAACTAAATTAAGCATGAACCAAATAAAACACCGTTGAATGCTCATCCGTACGAAGAGTGTAGTATGTCTGTTTATTCGTATCTGCATAGTCTGTGTGTGCGTTGGTTCATAGCACTTGACAAGCGCTTCCAAGCACGCCATTGGTGGCATTAACGCCACTATTGTCGGCGGTTGTAAGGCTAGGCACTATACAGTTAACGAGCTGCGAAAGAACAACGAAAAAACCTGGATTACATCGCTTCATCGACCAAACCGCAGCGAAAAAGTGCGGCCGCTGAACGCTGCAGCGTTCAAACGGCGACGAAAACAACGCAGGGAACATCTCTAAGCCACGGCAGGCCAACGACATCATCGGCATCGTACCTATGCGCCTACAGCGGTGAATCTTGCTAGCAGTGGCGGTCGCGGTGGCAGCAGCGGTAGCCGTAGGTAGACGCATCGAGGATTCATGCCACTACTCACAAACAGCGGCCTGATTTGTGTTGGTTCATCTAAAGCGTCTGTTCTATTGACGTCCGCCGTAGCAGATGCATAGTGAGTGCCGCATTTAGACGTAAATATTCTAGGCTGGCGCTGTCACAGCCGCCGCCGCCGCCGCCGCCGCCGCCGTTGTAGTTGGTAGCGTTAGCGCGCATCTACGAAAACTGCCGTCTACATAGGTCATTGGAGAAGATGTGAAAAAAACCCGTTCGCTTCAAGAAGAGTGTAAATATAATGTGGACGGAAAGTCTATAACGACGTAGATTTGACTCTATGCGCAGCTCACCGACTTCGCGTTGTCGTCCGTAACGCATTTGACGATAACGTCTCGATCGGCAGACGACAACTGAGGCTGGCAATCGAGTAACTGGAGCGGCTGCTGGAACAAGCGTCGTCACCAGGAGGCGACGGGGTGTGCTACTTTCGCTAGAGCGGTGTCCAATTTCGGTAAACCACCGAGTATTCGCATTCAACTGATCCGGTTCCGGGAGAGAGACTCCAGCTTAGCGGCGCGAACTTCTATCGCAGTCGGACCAAACGTGATCCAAATGGATAGATGTACGAACAAACGACAGCATCGAATGACTCTCGCCGCCACTGACGCGGATAGCCACCATCGGAATCTCGACATAGCTCCGCGCGTACCGAGACCTAGCAACTTAACTTTCGCAGGTTTATCTATCAGCCGGCCTGACTGAATACACCCCTTTCTTTGGCAGTGGTAAGTCGCGACAACGCGAACGGCAATGCAGCATATCTTTTGGGCAAAAAAGTTCGTTACATCCCGCGCTATCAGCCATAGAGCCAGCAGCTCTCTACCGTTCTGAGTAGTAGGACAAAACAATACAGTGCAATAAATGAGACAAAAATGAATTGAATCAACTTACCTTCCTTGCGCATACCGGCACGAAAGCACTTCTTGAGTCGGCAATAACGACACTGGTTCCGTTTGTCCTTATCCACGACGCAGTTCCTGTCGAAGCGGCAGCTATAAACGTGGTTCTTGCGTACAGATCGGCGGAAGAATCCCTTGCAACCGTCGCAGCTAGATGCTCCGTAGTGCTTGCCGGTAGCCCGATCTCCGCAAATAGCACAATACGATGAGCCCCCATGTGCAGTAGGAACACTGCCGGACGTGCCTGTGACGCTTTGCGCCGACACCGGAGAGCCGCTGGTCGAAATAGGGTTGTTGGCAACACCGTACGTTGCAGCCGCGAGCTGTTCCGCTTCTAGAACCGTCGGCATAAGCGTTAGTTCGTTAGTGGGCTAGAGCTATGAAACCTTATATTGTCGACGCTATCACGACTATTGTCAACTCAGCTTGCATAACGTCAGAGGCATTCTTGATCGCATAGTAAAAGCGAACCTCTGAGGTACATCTCCCGACCTCCGAGTCGTGTTCTGATTCGCGCCAGACCAAGCCTAAGTGTAACCCTTAACCATAGATTAGCATTAGGCGCCCAACACGATGGCCCGAAAACCGATTCGCGTCCAGTATGGTTGAATCCCTTAACTCATATCATTAAGGTGACGCTCTTTCGCTCACTGCCATAGCGAATAATTACAGTTTAACACCATCTATGCCTATATACATACACACCTATATATAGATATATATAAGGGTGTTTCAGAAGCGGCTCGAACATCAATTAACGTAACCACGATCGAGTCTTGTACGCCTCTAGTTAATTCTACTAATAAAGCTTCGAACGGCACTATCTGATATGTTGTTGTTATTATTATTAGAGTCATAACCATCAGCATCAAAATGAATAGTTATCATTTTGTGTCATGTGAGTGTTCTATATTTGTTATGCGGTCTCCCTTCCTCTCCAACTCATTTTCCGACGCTGTCGATAGTGAGACGCAACGCGGCGCCCATAGCGCCAACTGAACGCTAAGCCGGTTCAAGGGGCCATTGTCGACACAGTCGTCATCGTCAGCAGCAGCAGATAAGATTAGATAGGGTTTTTATCAACAGTAGCTTGTCTGCTTGTTTGCTGGCTAAATAGGTAGGTACGTCGTATAGGCAGTCAAGTATATTCTACAATAGGTAGATGTTAGTTTGGTGGAATGTTAGCATTTTTTCTCTATCTGATTTAGTGGGCAGGCCGTTAGAGGGACGAAAGGCCCGGGGATGGGGTGCTAATCGTCGGTGGCATAGCGGCAGAAGCGAGTGCTTTCGCGGCAGAAAGCAGATAGATCGACAAGAAAAAGAATATACATAAGGAGAACGGCCAAGTGCTACCGGCATATCAGGCGTCATTTCTAAAACCTGAGGAGCGGCAGCCTTATGTTACTGCCGCCGCCGCCGCCGCCGCCGCCCCCGCCGCCGCCGCCGCCGCCTTTACTAGTACGTTAACGTACAGTGATACCGAAGTGAAAGGCATCAAATCACCCTTCGATCTACGTATTTGTTCTATCGTATGCACTCAACCAACGTCTCAGCTGTCTGTCTAGTGAAAAGGGAGAGGAACTATGAAAGACGATATTGACAAAAATTGTCGTCTCTTTACAACTATGTCTCTTTACGAGCGATCAAACAGCGAGTGAATTTTACGACGTATTTATAACAATTGGTCAGAAAACCCTTCAGCGAACGCTAACACAGACTGGGTGGTTCTGGTCGGTTTCGGTCCAAGTGAACGAAGCGATTGGCCGGCCACATGGAGAGGGGATTAGAGCGAGCCTGACGGTAACAGCGTAATCAACGCAGTTGAATGGATGTATAGCTGAGCGTGATTCTAGCGCTTAGGTGGAAACAGCTCTCTGGGGATTGTGTACAAACGGCCGTATCGAAGCTAACTGTCAGAAGTGGGAAATCTTTTAGAACAGTTTGTAGCTGCGGATGGCCCCGTAACGGGATCTAGAGCTTAAGTCAGTTTTGTATATTAAAGCCGACAGCTTCGTCTGTTATGCTGGGACTGCCAACGCCATTGTGGCTGCAATGTATGTACCCTAAATCATGTTATCGATCTGGATGCATCTGACATTGTTGATTGGGCTTAACTTTACCTATCGAAGATCTATTTTCGTTAAGGTGATGCTGAGTAAATTAGAGGTAGACTCTTATCACGAAACGCACACTAGTCTAATTTAAATAAACGAAACAGGAAACGTTAAGACATCTCCTTACTGTTCGTTACGAAGCTGAACTAGCGAAATCGTTGAGCGTTTTGAAATGCACACAGATATTTGGCCATGAACTCGCAGTTCACCTCACACTACAATATGGTAAAGTATTTTGTAACAAAAACAACACGATGTTGTTATACGACGCCCACCATGCGTACGATACCGTCTACTTTGTGCAGATTTCGTTACTGGCAAATTCATCTTAGATGTAGATCGGGCCCTAATAGGAAGCCTTCAGAACAATGCATGAGTCAGATGATAGGGGGTCGGAACGCTTCAACGGCAAAAGCATCGAGCATACACGTTTCCGGCTCACGGAGAACTGGAACAAGTTTACTTTATGCCAGATGTCACCCTGTTCCACGTTTCGATTATACTAAACCAAATCTAAATGGCTGCACCTTTCTTACAATTGAAAAATCTAGTCCCTATCATAGAGAAGACCTTAAAATGATCTTTTCTGGTATTCAATAGATGTAATATAAATCTGCTGCTTATTGTCGAATACCTCTTGCACCTATCTCAATAGCAAAGACCTAGGGGTGGGGGCGAGTTTGTGTATCAACGAGTTCGTGCAGCTTCGAACTTAACCGAGTCGAAATACTGTTGGACCCGAACGACATAAGTGATACACTTATCTCAGTTCTGTATTTCGTCGGTGATACATATTTTTCTACGCATAGATGCGCATAAAATAGAGAAATAACGGACATCTCTTCAATTCTACACTTAGTAAAATTTGTTTTAATGGATACCTGCATGAGCGGCACAAACGTCTATAACATCGTCAAGAAGCTGTGCTCTTTCTTCAGCGGTTTCTATCCGTCCTGGATAAAAGTCAACACTGGAACGTACATCTTCCTCATCGCATGACGTCGAGTGTTCAGGAGATGATTCCATGATCTGGTATTCGTTGGTCTGTCGCTGCGCAGCAGAACTGTCGTTCGTTAGATTTTTTGGATCGGGAGAGTGAGTGGGTTGAGGCTTCGAAACGGAATAATTGTAGGTCTTTTTCTCTAAAGCTGTAAGATCGTTTACTTCCTCCAAAGCGGAGTAGTCCTGAACGGGTTTAGTCTGAATGGCGTACTCCTGGCTCGTGTAGCCTTGAAAAGAACAGCTTTGAACCGGCTCGATAGGCCACAATGCACTCATTTTATACTGTTTACGTGGAAGTTACTCGAAATCGACTTCACCAAACTTTAACTTAACGTCACCGTAAGGTTCGACATCTAATATCACTTAGTGTATATATTACCTCCACCGAAAGTTCCGGTTTTTGCAGTGCTTCTCGCAGTAGTTTATGTAGTTAGAGCTCCGAGCACTAAATGATAAATTTCAGGGGGTAAGGGCATGCTTTTCTCCAGAGAGAGTATTTACTGCTAGCACACCTGATTAGTCATAAGCAGAAATCGGAGCGCGATCTAATTAACATGGCTTCTTCGTTCTGGTTTTCATTGAAAAGCGAATTATAAATCTGAACAGCAGCCATATGATTCGCTGGCCAGGAGTTTTGCCTTGTAGATGTCAATTTTCTATTTCGCTGACTTCCATTTTTAGTATATAATAAAGATAAGCGCTAAGTTCTAAGTATGCGTGCATTAGTTTTACGCCTTCGTGATCAGCGTTTAAAATTTTATTACTTACGAACGAAGGGAAACATCGAATGTTAGGTGAAAGAAAGTTCATACCTCGAGTCCGTCAACAAACACACTTTGAACCCGCATGAATGTATAGGAAAACAGCTGTTACCTCGTAGATCGGCGGCCGAGAGGGCAAACGAACAAAACAACACCCGACATGAATCTACAGCGAGAAATGGATTGATCATACACTTCACACCCTAGACATCGTGTGAAGTACGTATAAGATTATATGCTATGAGGTTTGGCGCTGCCGGAAAATCAGGACCAGTGTAATGAAGATGCGTAATCTCAAAAATCATAGTGAAGTTAGTTGGTTCTGGGTACGGTGAACGCCAACTTGACTGAATCCAGAAACGGTGCAGTGTAAAAGTTTGTTAACGTCAAATTACCTGTTCTTATTAGTTTTCGATTGCTTAATCCTATGTTCTATACAATATGTTGATTATGTTGCTGATCTGTATCGGCTACCCTCGATAGTGGTCTTCGCTCGAGATCTCCCATCGCTTTGAAAAGTCAACTATGGCTGGCATATTTACGCCGCTCTCATTAAGATTTGACAAATGACAAGAGAAATTACTGGATTCATCTTTACCTTAGTTATTACAGACAAGCGTGTTTATTCCTTTCATCTTGCCAATGATTTTAACATGTTTTTTGCTGCATGCTTCGAAAAATCGTATTTAATCTCGTGTTGTACAAACCTCATAATGCCATACGTCTCATAGACAGTGTACGGAGCTTGGAGCTTCAGTCGGCTATCGAAAGCCGCCTATCGTTTATCAGTAGCTTTACTATTATCAATATTATGTATCCGACGAACGCAGGCAAAGTAGTGTTCCATTAAATTAAAATGCGAAACCATATGCATCATTGTAAAATTGCCAAAATCAGCCTAAATAGACCAGGTTACCTAGTAGCGTTGCGTAGGTTAGGCTAAGCGTCCACGTAAATGTCATATTCCGATCAGTAGGTCGAACGGTATCTGTTGCTCGTGTCCAACTTCAATGATTGCTTTCGAAAAATGATAAAATACCTTTAAAATGCTTTTATTGCACAGATGTTTGTGTCACATTTTGCGACAGCCAGGCTAATAGAAGAGTCGATAGTCTTCGTTAGTTGATGTAAACCTTTTGCCAAAGGCTGAGTGTGGTATTCCTACAGATTTTTTTACGTTACGATACGTTCACGTCGTGGGTAGATTGTCGTATGTAATCATATCGTCTTCAAAATTCGATCTATTCTGCACATTCGCCTTTCTATTTACAATGTGACGAGACGATTTTTTCTCCTTCTGTCCCTCGCTGAGGTACACAGAACAACGAGATCCGAGTCATAGTTATGAGTCATCACCTCGCTCATCGGTCATTCGTTGAGAACACGACGTTCAAGGGCTCGAGCCTCAACCATCACATGTGTTATTAAACGTAATTATTGATGCTGATCTGTTCTTTTTCAATACTAGTGTAACGCGAAGTGTGTAAATAGAGCTCGATAATTACAAACAATCTGCTATCTAGTTCGACTCATTTCATTAAACTCAGATGTTTTCAATTATCGCTTTTTTACGTCACACCGTATCAACCGTGACTGCACTTTCAATCTTTATTTTTTTTTCGAGTAAACTTCTGAAGGTGATATCTTCGGACACAAGATTTTCTGCTGAAAGTTATACTTCACATAAGCTGCCTATATATATATATATATATATATATATATATATTCTTTATCTCGTAATCTAAATATACTACGTTAGCTTGTGCATAAAATACAGGCGAAAGAGATATAAAACTAATACGCCTAATCAGAAGCTTACGTAGGTAACACACACTCGTTTAGTGGATGCACAGCTCTAAAAGAAGAATGTTAGCTTTGTTTTTTTGCTTTTTCAGCTTAATCACTAAAATACCTTACAGAATCTCGAGCAGAAATTGCTACAGCTTCTTTTCAAACCGACTGTGTAGTTACCGAAATTCATATAAGAACCAAAACGAACAGATTTGTAATTTGGATCGTATCGCTGATTTACAAGTACAGGTAAAAAAGGCATAGGCACAGTTTGTAGACCTTCAGGTCTCAGCCATTCATTAGGTATATCGCAGAAGTTGTTCAATCGGTGCGCTGTTATTATCAGCACAAATAACGATAAGCTTCTTGAGTGCATTTCGGCATTGAAAAAACAATCGAATTTTATAGCATAATAGATATACGTGTCGTCATTTCGATTTCTCGCTTTAGATTTGAAGGGTCCCGAGTCTGTTTGTCCATGGAAAAATGGTGGTAGCTCTATCGAACGTGTAATGGATGGAATCTGATGTTTCAAATTCAAACGGAAATTGAATTTAAGTACACACGTTCTTAAGACGTAGAAAAGATTCTGTCCAACTAATCGCTTGTGAATTTTCATCCAGACAGTAGGTTCAAGGAAGCAGATAGATCCGTTTTGTCATTTATACTGAAATTATTACCTCATAAATAGGCTTGCACGTGAAGGTTGGCCGTATGAAGCTGGGCCTGTAGCACGGGGAACTTTGGAACAGTTTTGCCGATAATAACGAGCACGTTTGCACAAAAATCCGCCGACTGCTTCCTCGTTAACTTCAAGCGCCTGTAGCCGAGATGAAGCGGCTCATAGTGAGCGCAAGCCAACTTCAAAACGGGTTTAAGTGTATTCCAAAGCAATAGACGAAATTATAGTATTAGACCAGTTTAGCCATAAATATCAACGTAGATTGCGCAACGGAGGTCTAGCAACATTATGCTAGCAAATCGTTGCCAGATCATTTTCGGATATCGCACAACTGAGTGACATCAACGACTCGAATTTTGTTGGCAAGATGGCCTCTATACAGTTTTCATCGAATAGTAAGACGGGGTTCTGTTCGCGTTCTCGTTTGATGCCTAAAGCTTCGGTCACCCGAGGATGTGGAGCGATGGCTAGCGTTGATTTCGGCAAATAGGACCCGAAAGCGATGCGGAATAACGTAACCCCCATTCTCTGCTTATTTTTTTATATAGTAATTTTCTTTTACTTGTTTTCGACACTTTTATTGGTTTGCTATTCTGTTAGAGTTGTAGGTCGCTGAATATAACATAATACTCCGTATGGTACCCTGTCGCGTAACTACGATAGCAAATAAAGATACGTAACAAAGGGCGCTATCGCTTCAAATACTCTCACATATGCTGTGTTAGGATTGTAAATAATTAGGGTTTCGAGCCACAGCCCGCACTCTTCTTGGCTGTGTCGTGTAGCATCGAGCTAGCTGGATGCTATTTCCTGACAGCAGAGATTTCGTATGAACAAGAAAAAGTAAGAGATAAACTTCATATAGTAAGGGCTTTTCCTGAAGTACTTGTCAGACATGGTTGTACGTTTAATTTATGATACACGAATTACGAGTCTAAACAATATTAGGGGCTGTCGTATTTTGTGACAGCCACACGGTACGAATGTTGAGCAGTTTAAGGCTATTCGAAAAATATAATGCCATGGGGCAATTGTAATTCTCCTTAGCGGTCTATCTTTATACGCTTGCAAGTGTAATGGCCCATATATTTAATAGCCATAAATTTAACATCAGATCAAGGTTATCGCCACGGTGATTTAGCTCATAAGTATATATATATATATATTGCTGGTATGCGGGTATGCGTAGAGAGGCAATCAGATAGATAGCGCTAATTGCGACAATAGAGGCAAATTTACAAGTACGTATAAGAGTTTCCAGGAAAGCTTCCGTCCTCATAGGGGGCGCTAGCGATCGGCTCTTCTCCCTTTTTCGAGCACTGAACAGTAAAGACAACATTAAGCGACTAGATACAGCCAAGTTATGGGTACAAAACCAACGACAAACAGTTCCCTGCCTCCTCTGAATAAGCAAGAACTTATTTACAAGACGAGATGAAATGCTTATACACGTGCTGGACCTAACAACAATCGGTTTTATGTCGTTTTGCCAGATTCTTTTCCCATATGCGTGGTAACGTTGTCATGTATGATTTTTTTTTCTGTGCCGTAGGCATATGAAAGGAAGTTGAAAACACCTCTTCCTGTTTTGCCCGTAAGAATCATTTTACTTTTAGACCTCGATGTACACAACCTGCTTAACTAAAAGCTAGCTATTTTTAGGTTTTGACAACGGTAGAGTTGGGTCGGTGAGCTGACGTGCGGTTAGCTTTTTTCATTTCGGGTGCCATCATCTCACTTTCGTTCTGTTTTCATTCGCTACAACGTCTACTTAGAGTTCCAAGTATGAAGTCAAATAATTCCAATGGCACGATATCACATATCTTAACTGATTCTGTGATACGACAATCGTGAGCTCACTGTAACCAAGCATCTCATTCTCAACTATCGATAATTGGCCATATGTCGGAGTAATCACCGATAATACGGTTGTGATTATTGCGACTCGTGGAGCATCGTTCTGCTGTCAACTGATACGCTCCTGTAGGTTCCATTCAGTGTTGCTAGCAAAGTAAAAAATAAGTAGTTATCTATTGGAGTAGGTATTTTTTTCGGCCTTTCTATCAACTAGCTTCTTCGCAATAGATAGTTAGCAGTATTTCTACTTTGGGTTTGACTTACCATCTTTAATGCTTGCATTACTGACTCCAATGGATCTTTTGTAATCCCAATGCTCCGGGCTGCTACCGCCTTCCGAGCTCGTATGTCCTCCGCTGGTATCGTCCAGATGCCCGGCTCGGCTGTTGATTGTTGTCTGGGGGCCCATATGCGGTGGTGATCCCCCAAGCTCACGTAATCGTTCCCGCTCATCGTCTGGCCTAAAATGTCGCACCCCAAAGGGCTGGGCTGCACCACGCACGTTCGAATACTTCTGATAGCCTTCCATCTCCCTGCTGATTGCTGCTTCATTATTGCTCGATGCCTCCTGTTGCTGTACCGACAATAGCTGTCTAGGCTGCAATTGGTACGGCCCACTGCAGAGTTGGTCGTAACCAAATGGCTCGGGCAAACCGAATCGGGGATCTCTCGAAGTTGCCAGCGTGGGGCTTGTTAGAGGGCCTCCACCGGGCCCATTTCCTGTACTCGTTGAGATTGCGAGACGATTAAACTCGGACCAGCGAGGGTCATTCTTGAGGTCCGCCAAGCACCATTTCTGACCGTTTTTAACTGCTGGAAGAAGGGGCTGAATTTGGGTGGCGGACTCCGTTGTAGTATTCGTGGGTGCTAGATACACAGAGGTGTGAGGGCTGCCGCGAAACTCCGTCGTGCTGCCGAAATAAAACCAGCTTTCAGTGAATTCTGCTGCCGACGCCGGCCAACCGACAGTCGGGGGAGGGGGTGCGCAAGGTTATAGGTCTGCTGTAAACTGATGTGTTTCAAGACGCCGTCACGATTCCGACCTGGCCTGCGACAATCGGTGTCTGAAGGAAACGTCAAACCCAACGAGGGCAACGATAATCAAACGTAGAAACAAGACTGTGACAATTGGTCGTCAATGGTGTCGTGAAAGCATGTCACTTCGGTGACCTCTCGAGAGACGGGCGAAAAGGACATGAATTCAGCTGTAAGGTCTACAGGGAGCTGGAAGGGAAAGCCAATAGCGTCGGAGGTCCAGGTGCAGCTGTGTGTTTCGCTTAGTTACCCTTTGCATTCAACGGCAATTCAATATAATGGGCAGATCACAGGGTCCAGTAATGCGCCAGCGTGGCTCCGGTAAGATCTCGAGGGTCACCCTGGCCGAACGTGCCCGTAATCGAGTTCTATTTGGTTATATAGCGCATACACGAATGTTTTGATTGAGACGCCTTTTCCGACCAGTTTTTACCGCTTACCGAGATTCAAGTGAGAACAGAAGCTTTTTCACACACACGCAAAAGGATCACTCAGGCCTCGCGGGCTGGGTGTGACTCCTTAGGCACTTCGTCGGAAATCATGATGGCTCTGTAGTCACTATCTGTCTATTTCGATATATCTGTGAAAAGCGACCGTCATGAAAAAAGGTAATAACCCTAATGAAACCGTCCACAATTCAAACGATTCAGGCGGAAGCGGTGTTGGATCTTGGGGGCAAGTGTAGGTCAAAAATACGCTTTTCCAAAATCACTACTATGTACAACCCCCGCAATGCAAGTAGTTTCGGTTCCAGTATCACTGCCGTGAGCCGAAATCGAAAAGCATCGATTCTGGCAACGAGTGGGCCTGTCTTATACACGTTTTGTTGTAGTCTAGAGGATCTAGAGAAACTGCAGAAGATTTCTGGGGCGCTCCAAACGATCGCTCCAAGCACTAGCCAGACAGAGAAGAGTGAGTCCAAAAGAAAGGACCCGAAAACCAGTGAAAGGACGCTCCGCGCGTCGTTGCTAGCCTCCCGTTGAATTGATTACGGAGCGGTAAGGGTGGGCTTATCGGAGGCGGAGCTATTTGCTAAACGTTTACAGGCGGAGCTTAACAAGGCGCCGTGTGCGCTGGCTGTAGACGAGATGACAGTCGCTCACGACTTTTGGCGTCTGGATCCGTACATGGCTGCATACACGACAGCTACGCAGATCGCCAGCTTCCTTGGCGTTGTCGTGTCGAGCGTGAGTGCATGCGTGAGTGGGTGCGGGTGTAATTATTTTAGCTCTTTTAGCCGGAATGGACGTCAGCAAAGCGAAATCGCCATGGTACATGGCTGAACGGTGGTTGATTTCTCATTTGTTCCGCGAATAGCGGGACAGAAAGGTGGCTAACGTTCAAAGTATCATATAACTCAGCAACATAGTGGCCATATATGTAAATCAGAAATATAGGGGGCGGTAAATTCAATTTATCACTTGGTATATATAGATCGCTATGGCCAACAGCTGACCGATAGCGAGCTCTTTTCAGCACTGCTGAAGAGTCTTCATCTATTATCAGCCATGTTTGTTCACGTTTCATATTGCAGTTCAGTACCGTACTCTACCGCGATTAAAAGTAACGCTATTAGTTTTCGTTAGAGAGAGAAATAAATCTTTGTTGTTATTGTATCAGGACCGGACACTCATACCGATGCTAGCTTTTATTCGTTTTTAGGCCCATTGCTTTTCTTTCTGCTAGCTGACGCTGTATCGCAAAAGCGACGCAGGTTGGCTTCAGGCAGAGGATATGGAATCGGGACGCCGTGGAAACAAATCTGGCGCCACAAACAAAACATCGAGTCAAGTTGATATCTGCCGGAGAGAGACAATACAAACTATGCGAACACATCACAGCGGTAATTATGGTTATTACGACTATAATGGATAAAGACAATGAAACTAGCAAACAGATATTGTTTGTATCGCTCGATTCTTCTCTCGATGGGATGTAGAGATCGACTGCTTCGACACTGTTGACGATATCATAGAGAACGATATACTTACGTCAGCCACAGACCGGAATACGTAAACAGAGTGGTAAAAAACGTTTTGAATCAATAACCTCATAGAAACTATTATTGATAATAACGTACCTCATCTATATTGGTTCGTCAGGTAAATAGGCTTCTTTTGGCCTTTGTGCTCACCCTATCGTCGATGGCAGAGAGCAAACGCCCCTCGAACTCGTAAATCAGCCATGTCGTTCATGGCGGTCTGTTAGCGAACTGTCAGTCAGATTTTCCAATAGACGATGCTCGTTGATGATGTGGAACACCTATATATTTACGCAATTATTGGGACAATACGGAGTCAAATATTGTCAACTTTGCACGCAAAACCGAGTGCGAAAGTTGAAGCACTTTTAAGCACTAAGCAAAAAGTCCTTTAGAAACAAATCTAAAAGCTCGATTTTCCTCTTTTATGATGAACGTTTGAATAATCCCGGGTTCATGATGGCGCTAGAGAATAAGCTTAGGTCGTTGTGTACTTGCTGTAGCCATAACGATTCTAATATTAGAACGCTAACTCGGAACATTCCAGCAAATACATCGCACAAAGTTTGATCCTTTAGAATTAGTGGATAAGAGTGCGAGGCCGTAACTAAGCCATGCAGTCGTTCCACCTATCTTCGTCGCAAGTTTGTTGAGCAAAACAAGCTTAATGACAATGGTTTCTCATGTGGCGTTCGTCTCGGACTCGAGTGCTCGTCATTTAACGTTTAGGTATATCATAAGTATCCAAAATTCGGAGCGTCCTGGGGCAGTTCGATCGCCAGCGCTTCGTTGGGTCGAAAGGTCCAAAAAGGGGTCAAATTTTGTAGAAAACTAACACTAAAAAAGACATCCAGTCGGTTTTTTTTTTTTTCGAAATTGCCAGCCAAACATGATTGCGCCACAAACGATATGTGTCAGCCAATATAATTGGTATCCATATGACCGCCTCCTAAGTTTTGTTTACGTTAGTTTCAATTGCTCCATTTAGCAGAAATATTTTCTACACAAACAAGTCGAACATAATTTTTTTTAAATTCGCAGCGCTGGAAGTGATAGTAGTCCACAAAGAAAGTCTCATTGTATTGTTACTATTTTGATATTTGTGACCAGGCTTGAAGTAATAAAGATGTTAGCGATTGCTCACTATTTATCAGTAGGATTGCTTCTCTGGTCAGGTGAAGAGAACGACAAAGCAGACTTGAAGATGCATTATGGCTTATATTGATAACGCGAATCATATCTATGGAGAGATCGTGTGGCAGTCAAAAATGTTTGCGAAGAGTCATTGCTATCAGGTATTTGTATTTTCGTTTCGTTGAAAGGCACTCTTCCACAAACTAATAGTTCTCATATAGATGCAGGCTACCTACATAAGAAACATAGCAAAAGGTGAATGCGGAAAACGGGGAAAGAAATAGGATTAAAAAAATCGAAGCCTTTTTGAAATTACTTGAACCATGTATTTAGAATCCGATAAAGTAAAACGTATAAGAACGGATATGGCTTACCGGTACTACATCAACTTAAAGGAGTCACGTCGCGTACGATAAAATATAATATATATCTTTTTTTTTATAGGCAGATAAATGTGTACTATAGATATATAGGAGACAAGAAGAGGGAGAGTGAGTTATCCACGCTTCTCTTACGTCACGACACACGTACAATACTGATACACACAGGCACGCATACACGACGGAAGAGCTCCTGCTTAACTTCAACTCGAAATAGTTGTAAGCAACAGCTGTAATGTCGCTGCTAGTATTTTCCTGACTTGCTAAACAACTGTGCATAAAAGAACTTTAATCGATCACATGGTCAATTATCTTTCTGTCGTCGGTAGTATCCAAAAAACTGTAGATGGAATAAATCGTTTGCATCCCGTTGCACACTATGGTCCGTTGACACGATCGGTCATGAAAACTCAGGTCACGTTGGTTTTCCAGAAGGCACGAGCAAGGACGCTGCGAAACTGCGGTGCCGAAGTGGCAGCATTCTGCATGAGCAGGGAACACCGATGGGTCTATACTAATTTTTCACAGTATCCATTAAAAAGCGGCTAACGGGCGTACCCTGGAACTGTTGCTATGACTGGTAGGTGCTGCAATCAACCAATGCCATCGTGGTAGTTGTAATACAGCTGAAAGCAAACTGGTGCGCGACAACGTTCCGTTCTGCTATGAGCGGCGGACGGCCTAAGCACAGAAAGCGGAGCAGACAGTGGGATAACAGACCGTGCTCATTGTCATCGTCGCCGTGAGGAACACCCGCCTGATCTAAACCTGGATTGTGGATTGCTGTTGGCCATTGAGCACAGGTCGTCCGGTTGGCCGATATGGAGGTTGATATTCCTTTGATGTGTGTTTGTCGACTGCCTCCTAGGCGAGATTGAAAGAAAGAATAGGCCACCTGTGATCAGCAACATTAGCACGCGGTAGTGGAACTATACACTCTACCCTAAATTACTCGCCCACTAGGGGCATGGTCCACCTGACGGATAAGTTGACCGACCCTCGGTGCGTCAGGGAATGGCTAGCGCTCATCGTAGCAATTATTGTAGAGAGACAACTCGTAAACTAACCTGGTCTGTTGACTTATCCTGCTGCGCTAAGCTACCAGGACCGGGGCCAAGATACAAAGTCCTTCCCAGAATAAATAGAGCAAAAGTCGTTTCTACCATCTGCCAAAGTATAAATGTTCTGGGCTTCCCTTACCAATCAGTAGATCCTCTTCCTTTCAATCGAAATCAGCCCGTAATTGTTAGCTGCAATAGATAGCGATGTAGTAGGAGACTAGCTCACCGTTTAAATGGAAAGGTGATTTAGTAGATTTAAATATGCCCGTATAGTCGGTTTCACCCTAAATCCGGATACTAACAGTACCCTCTTACGAATTATATCACCTTACAGGTTGCATTACAGACTGATCTGTTGGCAACCAGTCGATCTTGGTAACAACGGTTCCACCAGTCTTTCTAAAGGCGACAAGAAACCAGAATCGGTCGTCCGCCGAAGCCACACAGTTTCTTAAGCCAGAGAACGCAATATATTCCTATGGATAAACCTATCGCTGTTCTCATAGCTCCGAAGAGAAAGTCAACTGTATTCGACGACACTCCAATCTGCTGGGTCCCATTTACAACTGATGTCGAAATCATGTTCCTGGAATTACTAGTATGAAGTTTCCAGTTTGTGTGTGTTGGAGTTGAAGCTCATTTTCGTTGGCAAACAATTTAAGGAGACGTTTTCGTCGGCTGCTTTTGGGAACGCTGGGGTTCCAGGCTAACTGTAACTCTAGTCAGCTCTGCAAAGCTACTGCCTTCACGACGTAGGCCAGTATTCTTTTGAGTCTGTTGTCATTGCACAGCACTTAGAAAAGGATTTGAAGGTTGTGCTGCAAATACCGGAGTACCGCAAGCTTCTCCAGATTACCGAACTTACAATTGTAATTAAAAAAAAAAAAAATATATTATTTCCACTTGATCCTGTAGAACGTTGAGTATGTTACACGCTACAGTTGCTGAGATAGGTATTCAAATATAGCTCAGATAATCCCTCTACGGGTTTTACGTTCGGTATCGCCATTAAACATTCCATCAGATGGCTATTCCTCAGCATGGAACGAAGTCTGTCTACACCCGACTTCGAACATAGGCCGTAACGTGTCCATAATATAAACAAGCAAATACGTAACCCATTAAGCTGACTCAGATAATCTAAGTAATTACTGCCATCTAACCACCATTGGCAATGTCTTCACTCCAGATAGGGATGGTACAATGGATGTGCGCGTCAAACGCATGCCGACTTCAGGTGCCGTGTAGCTCGAACTACGAACCTCAAGAACCGAACGCTAACAACAGATAAATGCCACAAAAGGATAAAAGCTAACTTAACTAGTATCATAGGTTTTCGACGAAACCTTATTTTTTTGGATACAGTGCAGTAACTTTGTGACGTTGCTGAAATTAGTCTTACTATTGTGCTAGCAAATCTGCATCACTGGGCCCTGCGCCGCGACCTCCAGCGGCCTTCAGTGTTGGGCGTATATAGACTCAATCAACAGTTTTTCAGCGTTTAAACGCTCGCAGTAGGTAAACAACCACCAAAAAACATGACCTCGAAACATTTTTTGAGCCTGGAGTATTACAAGGTAGTTGATAATAGCAGAGGTCGATGTGTGCTGCCCTTCATCTCGGAATAGGCCTAGTCGTAAAAAACTCATTTAAGGCTTACAAAACCAGCATTTTCATACAAATACCTACTCTAACATAGAACGCAAACATTTGTGCTGGGTAAATGCCGCAGCGAAGTTATATGTTGCTAACAACATATTAACAACTCAATCATCAACATTAAAATGTTTCAATTGTCATTCAAATGTATCGATTCGTCGTCTATTTGGCTCTATCATTCAACGATTTAAGGCTACACGGCGAGAAAAACGATTTTTTCAATAGGCACAACTAATGATTGTGGAACAACGTTGGTAGAAAATATCATAGCAGTTAAAAATCTGATCCGACTTCTTTCTAAAGCGAATAATTATACACGTTAGTAAAATAAACAAAACAAAAAAAAACGAAGTCTGTATATAGGTTTCATACGAAAAATAATTATGGCAGATTTATACTGTTTTTCAATTCATATTTTTGTTTAATTGCATGGATTAAACGTTATTATTTACTTTAATTGAGAAAACACACGATAGGATGATAAGCCCGGAGTTTTCGATTTTGACGTAGACACGATTTACTTTAAGAACGTAAAAAAAAAATTTCTAAATGAATGCGTAGTGAACGCGAAACAGAAAATATCGATTACAAAATAGGGCACACAGTCAGACCACTTTTCTCAACAATGAAACCTAGGAAAGTTACTGAAAGATACAGTGGAAGACGTTGGCCTGAATCTATCTATATACTAAAGTTATTTGATCTAGTGGTTGCCCAAGAGTATTTTGTACCGTTTTAACCATAATTAGCCAGCAGTCAGTAATTCTCTTGTTTCTAGCGATCTGAGTTGAGTGATGAAGAAATCCCAATACGGTTCACTTAACAAATACACGTTCATTGTTTATTTCGATTTTTCTAGAGTTCAACTCAGTTTTTACTGTACAT